GGATCATGGAAATGTTGCTTAATCTCTTCAATCCTCGGTTTCCTCATTCTTAAAATGGGCATAATATTAGCCCACTCTTGCAGGGAAATCAAGAGGATGAAAGTAACGTGTAAAATACTGGACCCTGTTAGGCACGTCATAAGTGGGAGCTCACTGTTCCCATGGAAGCTCGTACATGGCTCCCAGCTGCAGTATTTTGAGTGTGGTTTCTGCCCTACCATTTCCTCCTGCCTAATCATGCAGGATCCTCCACTGCCTCGAGGCTAATGGCCCTCATACTGTGCCTCTTATGATATTCTTGCTATTGGGCTTCATTAATTGTTGCAGAAATCTGTTAGGTACAGCCCTCTTGAGACTCCTACTGTGCCCAGAATAGCTTACAACTCTTCACATTAAAAATGAGCATCCTCCACCCTTCTTTTCTCACCCCAAGCCTCCTGGGACATGTTTAAAACAATAATCAAAGCAGCATAACCCGTTGACACACGCCTTGAATAAAAGCAGGCTGTCCCAAATCCCATTCCTTTTGAGCTCATTAAACAACTTGCAGTCCCACTTTAAATGAAATCTTTCTTTCCAAGGGAGAGAGAGGAAGTGTTTAGCATCCTAAAGTCACCGCTACCAACCTACCTCTTCCTCTTCATTCCTCCTGCGTGCCCCTTCCTGCTCACTCTCACCCTTCTTTCTCAACAGTCTCCCCACTTTCCTGCTATCCTGCCCCAATATCGGTGATGATGATGATGGTAACTGAAAACACAGCCTGAACACTTACTCTGTGCCAGGCACCGATATGAGCAATTTACACACACTAAGTCATTTATTTCCCACAGTGCACATTACTGTTATCCTTGTTTTCCAGATGAGGTGACAAAGGCAGCAACATGTTTGAAGAGCTTGTCCAAGATCCCAGGACTAGTGCATGCCCAAATCCACCACACATTAAGGATCTTCCAGCCATCCTTGAGCCCCTCTTCTCTTTCACTCTTACCCTCAGCGCTACCAGGTCCTCTCTCTTCTGTCTCCTAAATAACTCCCAAACCCATCCCTTTCTCTGTCCTGAGATGGGCCTGCTTTTTTACAGCTTGGGCTCTCATCACCTCTTCCCTGGATTCTCACTGCTAAAATCTCTTCATTGATCTCACTGCCACTAATGATGACTCCTCCCCCACATCACCCTCCACATAACCACATTCGGTCAGCCATTCACTTGTTCACTAAGCATTACTAAGTATCACAAAGCATCAGTAAGCAGCTAACATTGCCAGGCATAGTAGTAGATTTGGGGTCACCAAAGTCAGTCCGTGACTCCAAGGAACTTACAGTATTGGGAAAGTCAGATGAAAGAGGATGAAAGTTAACAAATAACAAAAATAACAAACACTCAATGGTAATTGAATGTAGACCTATGCAACATGTGAGATGGGAACTCAGAGGAAGGACTACCAGATTCTGCCCAGTTTGATGTAATAGGACTTATTTTGCCTACAGTTCACTAGAGTGATTTAAATAAAATCAATGGTACTTAGTCTTAGGTTTTTATTTTTTTGTTGTTGTTGTTGTTTTGTTTTGTTTTTACATACCCAGAAGTCTGGAGACAAGAGGTTAAAGGGGTGGGTGAGAGTTTCATTGATTTTAGGGCCAATTCTCCTGCAATTCTTTTGGCCTTTCTTCTTGGTCACAAGATGGCTGCTGCATCACCAGCCATCGTGTCTATGTTCAAGGCAAGAAAAGGAGAAAAGGAAAAAGGGCTGGATCAGCTCATGTGTTCTTTAAAAAAAAAAAAAAAAAAAAAAATCCAAGAGAACTTTTGCTTTTCCAGAAGCCTCCCTTGCAGACTTTTACTTAGTGGTCACAGCCCAGATCTAGTTTACATGGCCACTTTTAGCTGCAAGGGAAGTTGGAAAAGTGAGTATTTGGTTTTCAGCCCCTCTGGTAGACAGGCAGTAAGGGAGAAGGAGGTGTGATGTGACATTTAGATAGCCAGACCACACATGGGCAGGAAAGTTTCAAAGCAGATGTGATGCTTAAGCCAAATCTTCATTTCTAATTCATAACCTGTATTAGTTCATGTTCACACTGCTGATAAAGACATATCTGAAACTGGGAACAAAAAAAGGTTTAATTGGACTTACATTTCCACATAGCTGGGGAGGCCTCAGAATCATGGCAGGAAGTGAAAGGCACTCCTTACATGGCGGCGGAAAGAGAAAATGAGCAAGAAGCCAAAGCGGAAACCCCTGATAAACCCATCAGATCTTGTGAGACTTATTCACTATCATGAGAACAGCACAGGAAAGACCGGCCCCCATGATTGAATTACGTCCCCCTGGATCCCTCCCACAACACGTGGGAATTCTGGGAGATACAATTCAAGTTGAGATTTGGTGGGGACACAACCAAACCATATCATAACCCATAAATGAATGCCATTATCAATGTGCTAGTTCTCATTCAGAAATGCTTTGAGAGTGAATTCTATGTATAGAATTTTCTTTTTTTTTTTTTTTTTTTTTTTTTTGAGACGGAGTCTTGCTCTGTATTCCGGGCTGGACTGCAGTGGCCGGATCTCAGCTCACTGCAAGCTCCGCCTCCCGGGTTTACGCCATTCTCCTGCCTCAGCCTCCGGATGTATAGAATTTTCATATTATCATTACCACACACCTGTTCAACAACAGGAAGGCAGAACTATTTGGACAAAGATGGAAACACATGTAACGTTATTCCATTGTCCTCTCCTGTACTTCCTGCTCCATCCCCTGCTCCCTCTCTGCTCTCCAGCACCCTGCATTCCCTTCTTTCCCTGTACTGCTTCAGGCCTTAGCTTAGACATTGTGTCCTTCTAGGAGCCCTCCCTAGCCTAGGCTCAGTGCCCTTCCTGCTTGGTTTTCTGTCTTTGTCATCCCCATGGCTGTCCCGAGCTTTATGGAAGCACCAGTATGTCTCTGTTGTTCTTTGCTGTGGTTCTAGCCCCAGAACTTCTGCTTGGTTCCTAGAAGATGTACAATCAAAACTTGTTGAATGAACAAAAATCACAAATCCTCTGTAGATATACTGTAGCATCCCCATATTTTTAGGCAAGTGCCTTTCTTCCTGGCCAAAAAGCAAGCAAGAAAGCAAGCAAACAAAAACCACCCTAGAAGTGAAGCGGAGAAGGAACTGGCTTAATCCAGATAGGGCTCAATATCAACCAAGGTGCTACTTTCTGCTGACATCTGTACATAATCCTAATATTGGAACCCAAATTAGAAAGAATAAGAAAGACAAACCAACAATCAGGAGACAGTGCTCAAAGGACCTAAACTGGCTTTCTGGCAACAAGGGCCAGCTCCCTGCTACAGACACGCCTTGGAACACAGGCTGGCCCCTGGCGTGTGCTCACAGGGAGGGAGGGAGACGAACACTTGCTGAGGGCCCAACACGCACCAGGCCCTCCACAGGCCATCCCATTTTTCTCACAACCTTCTGAGGTACAATGGGTATGCTGTTTGTGGGAACATGCCACAAGGCTATAATATGCGGTGTTAACTAATAAGCCCTAGTGGGTAAACAGAATAGAAGATCATTTCTCATCCATGCAAATTGTGCTGTGGGCACTGCCCTGCTCAGCTTTCCTCCAGGCAATGACTCTGGGACCTGAGCTCCCTGGTGTCCTGGTGTGATTCTGCCAACTTCAGGTCCTTCATTTCCATCCTTAATGATCTCTCACCTGCAACTCCCTTGAGAGCAAGAACATGCTATTCCAACTAGTCGCTGACTTCTTCCTCAATTCATAGGTGTCTAGTGACTTCTTTGCCTTTTGTCTGATGAGGTCTCTTCTTCCTCCAGATGGCCCTACTGGATAGATGCCAAGACAATCCCACTGGCTTTCTCTCTAACATGACTCATGTCTGGTTCATGGAAGACACCTACACACCCTTTGTTCTGAAAAATTTGGGAAATGCAGGCCATCCAGCATAGCCACCACTCCCTTATTTTGCCATCAAAGTAGCCATGTCTTGACCTTTGTATTTTCTGGGACGGAGTCAGACCCCAGTCTACTCTGTTTTCCAAATGCAGAGGATGCATAACAAACTGCCAAGTTGGTCTCGTGGAAGATCCTCCCTCTTTAGATGAAGGGTTCCCCCATTCCTGACCCTTGACGGCAGTGGGACTCACAGTACAATAATAGCAATCTCTGAAAAATTCCCTTCTCTCCTAATTTCTAACTCCCATTTATATGATCATGGATACAGGAATTAGGAGTAGCAACATCATTTCTCCATCTTCCATTTTCAGAGTCCCGCATGTTTCGGAATCACACCCCACTTTGCAATGTCGTCTCTATACATGTGAGCTTCCACTTTGATATATTAATACACAGATTTGGAGCTCTTTGCAAAGCATGTGTGAGGGACAAGAGGGTAAAAGAATGTAATATATTGACAAAAGACATGTATATAATGAATTACAGGTAAATAAATATATATTATTTAAAACAATTTTTAAAGCTGTCAAGGGGCTAACACCTGCATGAGGGCAAATGACAGGAACAATGGAATTTAGCAGCTAAGAAATCTGGAATGGTAAGAGGTTGTATCAGAGGGTAGAATACTGGAGAACAATAGCAGGGTTCAAGCTGTGGTCTTAAGCATGAAAAAGATGAAGGTCTTTCGAGTTGCAATCGTCTGAATAATGGTCCCCCAAGAGATAGCCACATCCTAATCCCCAGAACCTGTGAATGTGTTACGTTGCCAGGCAAGGGGAAATGTGATTAAGGACTTTGAGAAGGGACAATTAGCCTGGATTACCCGATAGGCCCTAAATATAATCACAAGGGTCCTCATATGAGGGAGGCAAGAAGCCTTTTATGTTTAATGCAATAGGTCAAGATCATGTTTATGAGTCAACCTGACTGGGCTATGGAGTACCCAGTTAACCCATTTGGTTAAACATTATTCTGGGTGTGTCTGTGAGGCTGTTTCTAGATGAAATTAACATAAGGATCTGTAGACTGAGTAAAGCAGATTGCCCTCCCTGGTATGAGCTGGCCTCACCCAATTCATTGAAGGCCTGAATAGAATAAAAGTCTCAGTAAGAGAGAATTCATTCTCTGCCTGTCTTCAAGCTGGGACATCAACTTTCTCCTGTCTTCATGCTCATATTCTGGCTGAAAATTATACCATAAGCTCTCCTGGTTCTCAGGCCTTCGAACTCAGACTGAAACTACAGTCGGCTGTCCTGGGTCTCCAGCTTGCCAAACACAGACCATGCGGCTTCTCACCCTTCATAAGCTTGTGAGTCTATTCCTTATATTAAATCCCTTTATACATAGATGTCTTTCCTATTGCTTCTGTTTCTCTGGAGAATCCAGACCAATACAAAGGTCAAGGGGAACGTGATGACAAAGCAAGAGGCTGGAGTGTTGTGAGGAAGGGCCGACAAACCCAGGAATGCAGGGAGCCTCCAGAAGCTAGAGAATGTTAGGGAAGAGACTCCCGGCTGGAGCTGCCAGAGGAACCAATCCTGATGACAACTTGACTTTAGCCCACGCGACTTACTTTGGACTTCGGCTTCCAGAACTGTAAAAGAATAAATTTGTGTTGCTTTAAGCCACTAGTGGTAATTCGCTTCATCAGTTGTGAGAAACCATACATGAGTCAAGGTCTAAGAATTGTGAGCCTAGAGCGCTGGGTTAGGTCCACAGTCAGTTCAAATCACCTGCAACGACTGTGGAATTTGCACTGGAGAGGAAGCTGGAAGGCAGATGCCAGTTTCTAACACATGGGGAGAAGTGACCAAGGGGTGAATGGGTGACAGCAAAGGGGAGAGCAATGTTTCTAGATAGCGTGAGGCTCAGGGGAGCAGAATTTTATTTTAAAGAATAGGGGAGGGGTATCAGTTTTCCAAAGGAAAGGGTTATCAAAAGGAGGAGTGGATGGCCCAGGTGAAAAGAAAACAAGATGTTGGGTCAGAGGTGAGGAAGCATGAGGCAGTGTGGGGATGAGAAGCTGGGGGAGGATATTTGATTGAAGAGTGCATCAGTCAAGGTCCAATATGGAGACAAACCCCACAAAACTTGAACAGAAAAAGTTTAATATAGTTATTCGTTGCAACAGGAGATGACCTACATATGGGTAAAAACAGCACTAAAGAATACCCTGGGCCAGGCGCGGTGGCTCATGCCTGTAATGCCAGCACTTTGGGAGGCCGAGACAGGCAGATCATTTGAGGTCAGGAGTTCAAGACCAGCCTGGCCAACATGGTGAAACTCTGTATCTACTAAATATACAAAAATTAGCTGGGCGTGAAGGCGGGTGCCTGTAATCTCAGCTACTTGGGAGGCTGAGGCATGAGAATCGCTTGAACCCGGGAGGCAGAGATTGCAGTGAGCTAAGATCACGCCATTGCACTCCAGCCTGGGCAACAAAGTGAGACTCTGTCTCAAAAAAAAATACTCTGGGGCTGAGGAAGAGTTTGCAGGAAAAGACAAACTTGGAAGGCAAAGCTCAAACCTCATGGAGAAGGCATGGCTGCAGCCCAGGAGTGGCAGAGAAGCTAGCTGGGTTGCCCTGGGTGAGAGCTGTTCCACTGTTGGACAAGTACAAAACTCCCACCCAGGGTGCAGACGGGCAGGAAGCCACAGCCAAAAGTGGTGCTATCAGTTTCTTGTGGGTGCTATAACAAATGACCACAAATCTAAAACAACACAAATTTATTCTCTTACAATCCTGGAAGTCAGAAGTTGAACACAAGTCCCAACCCAGCTGTCAGGGCTGGGTTCCTTTTGGAGACTCTAGGGAAGAACCCTCTTCCTTGTCCTTTTCAGCTTCCAGAAAGCCTAGTCCTTGCCTCATGGCCCCCGTTCATCTTCAAAATCAGCAGTGGCAGGATGAGTCCTCACACTGCAGCACTCCAAAGTCGCTTCCATGGTCACTTCTCATTACCTGACTGAATGTTCTGTCTCCATCTTCCACATTTAAAGGACCCTTGTGATTACATAGGGCCCAGCCAGATATCCAAAATCATCCCTCATCTTTAGGTCAGTTGACGAGCAACTTGAATTCCATCTGTAACCTTTGCCATGTAACAAACTCTTTGCCATGTAACAAAACCTAATTATATCTTCTAGAGATCAGGACATGAACATATCTAGGGCCATTACTCTGCCTATCACACTAGAAAACACCCCCTAGGCTGGCAGGCCTAGTGGGGGAAGCCAGCCACTACGGTATCTACAAGATTCTTCCTGTGGTGGTTGGTAAAACTCACTACAGGTGAATAACCCTGTAAGTCCATATATACACACACACACACACACACACACACACACACACATGTTCTTGGCAGCCATACCATAGGAGCAGTAAGCAGATAGAAAACACCAGAACCAGGAAGAGAAGGTCCTTTTCCTTCCATGTCCCTCCAACAACTTCTACTGACAAAGCTTAACATAAGTGCACCTACTCCAAAGGAGAAATGTTTAAAGGACCCAGCTCCATTTTAGGACAAACAATGAAAAGTAGGTTTGCAGCTGAGAAGCAATAAATTTATAACTGGCTCAGGGGGCCTTTAAATTGGGGGTGGTAACCAAGGATGGCAGTAATACTAGGCTGGTGAGCTTACTGGTCTTAATTTCCAGAAAAACCCTGGTGTACAGTTACTAAAGAACTGAGGATTAGAAGGTGGCCAGCTGGTGGCCAGCCACCCTTGTAGATGTGAAGGCCAGTGTAGAGCAGCTGAGCCCGTAGACCCTAAGACCTGTGTAGAATGGGCCCGGGGGGGAGCCAAAGACCAGGACTATGAATAACACCTAAAAATTTTTGCAAACTGCAAAATATTTCAACATTTATAATGTCTAAGACATCAAATTACATGTCATCTCATTCAGCTCCGTCCCTCCCGGGCCTAATTAGGCCACCCTCAATCTACAACCGCTTTGGGAAAAGAGTTTTTTTTCTTTTATTTAAGTTATGGCATAGAAAGTAGCCTCAATCCCAAGTCCTATCACTCACCTTATAATTCAGCAGCTGGTGAACTCCCTTCCAGATTTCATTTGGAATTTGTAACCTCGAATCCCTCAGCCACTTCCATAAAGGCATGTAAAATACGATCTCATCAGACACACCAAGAAGCCAGGTGAAATAATCACATGGTCTCTCAAGGAAGTAAAGATATCAAGCCTTAACACTTAATGAATTTCAACTTGATTCTGCTCTGTAGTTAATGAAGTTTTTAAAGTGTGGCTCTCAAACTTCAGATCTTCTCTTCAGATCTGGCTATTGATATTGCTGAGGGCTATGGTCGTGGGAAGTGTCAGTATCACTAAAACGTGCTTATTTGCTCTATCATGATTAGGGTAATTTAAGTTTGGGACTCTAAACATTCAAACACTTCAAATAAAAGGAAACAATATGGCTGTCATTAAAATGGTAGTAACAGAATCTGCCATTTGTTCATTTTCTGGCAGGAAGACAAATGGTCCCACATTGAAGCCTCAGTTGTGCTGATTCTAATCATTTAAATCGAGTTGGGTGGCTTATTTTGCCAATCGTAAAAATGCCACAGTTTGTGGAATTTTTCTCTGCAATTACCCCTGCTTCTAAACTTTCTCTTGGGATAAATTGCATGAGCAGACATTTTTCCCTCTTAAGCCTATGAGTAAGTTAGACTGAAACCTTGGTGTAGTAAGTCCTACTTCCAGCTGACTTTCTGCATGTCATCTATAACAAGATACAAACTTGCTTTGTCTTGGTTACCTCACCTACAAAAGGCTGATGGTAAGTCTAGTAAAGTCTGTTATCTGACATGGAAGGAACTTGGTGTTTGGAATTCTGCTATTATAACAGAAATAAAGACATGCAGGGTGGGGAGTAGAGGGAGCAAGACATTCAGGACAGTGGCATGTACTCTGATAGGGTCTTTACTGGTTCAGAATCTTGTGCTTTCTTTTTCTGGAACAGAATGAAGATTTTTAAATCTTTTGCTGTGAGGTTGAACAAGCACCAAAGAACCAATCCAAACTTCTCAAATTATCTGTTTAATAAGCCAATTATTTCATAAACACTTGAATTGTTAATGAGCAGTAATTATTCTCTCTCTGGAAGTTATCCTGGCTTAGCTTTGTGGGGCTTTGCCCTAAGCACGAGCAGACTTGTATTCAGCCAAAGACTCAAGGGAATCCCTGTTGGATTTCTGAAACTCTATAGCTCCCTCCTCTTGGGTATTCTTCTCCACAAATTATAGTTGGTTTGGCTATCTCAAATTCTGACTTCTATCTCTTCAACTCCGTGAGGCTGCATAACTCTTTAACATCCCCTTCCTCACACCATATTTTGGACGTGGCTCCCAGGCAGAGACTCTGGGGAGTGAAAGCTCATTTCATCTGTCCTCTTTTTCTCAGTCACCATGGTCCTATTGTCTGTTGTCCAATGTCTAAAAATGGTGGATTCTGTATTTTGTTCAACTTTTTAGTTACTGGTTGTTTTTGTCATCATTATTTTCTACTGTTGCTTTTTTTTCCCAGTCTTCTTTTTAGTATTATGTTTTATTCTCTTTCTTTTCAGCTGTGCCCCTTTGTACAATTATTTTTACTTGTTGCTCTAGAGATTACATTACGCCTCCTTATCAGTCTATTTGAAATTAATGTGGTACTGCCCCATGTATGCAAGAACATTACAGTAACATAATTCCATTTGTCCCAAGTCTTTTGTGCTCTTTCTGTCATGTATTTTACATCTATACAGTTTTACTTTAAACTTTAGTTACCCTTTAAATAAGTTTTTTAAAAATAAAAGGATAGTCTTTATATTTTCACATATTTTGCCTTTTGGGGACTCTTCATTTCTTCCTGTGCATTCAAGTTTTCATCTAGTGTCATTTACCTTTACCTCCAGCTACAGGGAACTGCGTTTAGCACTTCTTATAGTGCTGGTGTGTGGGTGATAAATTCGCTTAGTTTTCATTTATCTGAAAATGTCTCAAGTTTATACCTTTTTATAACTCTTCTATTATCATTTTAGTGAGATCTTAGGAGGGAGAAGAGAAAATTTTATTCAATATGCTTTCTTTAATGCAAAGTTGGAAGCCTGACCGTGAGGGATTCTCTGTTTCACTCCTGGCCTCTCCTAGCCCTTTGCAATCCTGGAAAAGATTTTTTGGAAAACGCGAACTGGTGCCCAAAGCCCTCAGAGGCCAGGGGCCAGATAAAGGGTACATTTATTATAAAGATAATGGTTACAGAGAGAGGTTTAGTATCCAGGCAACCATTTTAAAAACAATAGTAACAGCTAACATA